CCGCAGTGTTGTGCCGCTCACTGCCCTTCGCTTTGGGCTCTGCTCTGGCCATGAGCTGCCTCCAGCAAAGGCCATGCTATGTTGGCTATAGCCTCAGCTTGAGGAGTAGGAGAAGTCTAACCTCGTCGTGCTGTGCTCCATCCTGAGCTGCTGGCGAAGGGGATCAAGGCCTTCCACCAGCATGAGCTGTCTGCATTTCAGGTCCCTACACTTGTTAAGAACTGAAGTGATGGAAATGCCTAGTTCCCTGTTTATGGCCATAGAAGAGATGACCTGCAGAATACTACAGTATTGTTTCTCAAGGGGTTCTCTGGGTGGATTTTTAAGTGCCACCTGCAATTATGAGGTATTTTTGTGAGAAACAGGCAGCATATTTTTATTTTTAGGTTCGTTGTTTTGTGTGTTCTTTCTGTATTCATGATTGTAACTTGTGCTCCTTGGGCTTCCACATCTGATCTCTGCTTCTGAGTGGATAATGTGGAAGGTTTCAAGTCCCTCTAAATGAGGAGAAGGAGAGGAATGACACCTGTATGCCATGGAGATGCTAGAGATCTCTATTTTCAGTGCAGAGGACAGTCATGCATGTGGGAAACACTTCTCAAATTGCAATTAACTTGAAGCCTGTTTTTTCTTTTGTATCTACAAAACAGCAGTGAGCCATTGTTGCTTTGGACTTGTAGCTGAACTTTAAAATTTTTGTTGGATTGAATGTAGAGTTGGCAGTGTTAGGTAGGAAAAAACAACTGGAATCTTACAGAGGAAACAAAGGAACCACTTCTCATTTCTTTCTGTTGAAATTTATTATTTGATAATTTTGATCATGTTTCCTTTTGCATGTTGGTTTTAAGATAATTCCTTGCTGCAGTTTGCAGCAGTCCTTGCAGCGTATTTCTTCTCTGAAGTGTGTACCCATACGCTGTGTGAAGGAAGCTGGTAGCAGAGCTGATTGGAAAGCAAGGTTCTTCCCTTCAGTCGTGACTGCTTTTTTCCTGTAGGCTCTGCTGTTTTGAAGACTTAAAAGGGAATTTTGACCGAAAAAATTCCTTCATATGTGAGTGAGGTTCCTCCCATTTTTTCTGAAGTTTACTGGAGTGTAACCACACTGTTACAGAGCTGTGGCCACATGTGATATTTTCAGCTGAGGTTTTGCAGGACTAATTTGTCCTCACCTTTACTCTATGCAGAGTATATTTGATCCTTGCAAAGTTGTCAGAATTACAGGGTATTGCTGAGTGGTTTCTTGGTTACAGGCAAGAGAGTAATTCCTTCTGGAGTGGACTGGCCTATTTTAGAGCTTCTCTTTATTGAATGCAGCAGCTCCTTCTTCACACTTCAGGTCACATTTCCTTACTAACTGAATCTCACTGGTTATAGCCTGATTTTTATGCTACGAAAGCCATTCCTATTCCTAAATTTCAATATAGAAAACTAGCAGTAGAAAAGACTACTCGTATGAGTTCCTATGGTCTTGCAAATGAGTGTGGAAGGAAAAACATTCTCTTTTTACTCAATTAACATCTTAGCCACTCAGCCTGATCTTTATTCTAATTGCCTTCTTCACTTAATCTGTTCAGAAACAGGTGTGGGATATTTCTACTTCAGCCTGAAGATCCTTCGAGTTTCTTGCTCCTTAGTTTCAGTGATTTGTTGTTTTCGCCTTGTGTCTAAGCCCTTTGGTGTTTTGTTCGTGACTTGGGTTAACCTCTATCAGTTTTGCAGATGCTGTTATGCCTCAAAATGCTGTAGCTGTTGTGTACAGGACCGAGGGATGCTGTGTGCTGCGCTGGGTGCTTGGTAGGGACGGAGGCATTCTCAGCACTGCAGGCACAGACAGGCACACGAGTCCTCCAGTCTTGGGATTTGGTCTCACAAATGTTACTGCAGTGAATTTCAGTGTGCTTGTGTGTTCTGTTCTACGTTACACAATTGGGCACTCTGACAAAAGCAGCAACGTCAATTAAATCCAAAGTAAATTGAAATAATTTAGTGCACCCATAAGAGTGAGTTCTGTACTCTGAAACTGTTAGGTCCTGTTTGAGTTCAGGGGCTTCAGCACGCTTTGGTGACTGCATGTTGCTGTGGTAAGGGGGATGGGCTTTTTCCTTGAGAAGGTGGAGAGTTCAGCAAGTCTTACCTGGGCTATGCGAATGCAAAACAAGGCTGACTTTGTTTTCCACGTGCTTTGCTGCTCAGTATGTTGTTATATTGATTGAGATGAGGCTGATCATTTAAGTCTAAGTCAGAATAATATGAGGAAGAGATTTTATGTTACCTTCTGTTTGAAATGTCTGCTTTTGTCTTCTGATTCTCGTGTGGTGTAGTGTATTTACTCCTTTTTGGCCAGTTGAGCCCCAGAAAAAAGAAGAGCTTCAAGCAAGTAACCGATGGCATGTTTATTTTTTGTCTATATAGCTTCCCTACATAATTTTTGTTTTATGAACTGTGCATTGCAGCTGTGCCACATTCATTTAGAAAACTCATTATTACAAGCTGGCCTGGCTTATAAGGACAAGTAAACTTGTTTTTTCACTGTGAGCTACAAGTTTATTCTGCTGCAGTTCTGCCCTGTGGTGGTAGAGGCTCATGGCAGCACTGCAGTCAGTTCTGTGGGGCTGATGCTGCACAGGACAGATGCAGTCATGCACTGGATTCTTGTGCTGTCATTTAGCATCCTCGAGAGAAAAACACGACTTTGTTCTAGGTCTGTGTGCCCCACTTGTCAAATGTGCGAGTTCCGAAGTTGGCTGCGTTAATTTCTGACATCTATGTGCGAAGTTGGCTGCGTTAATTTCTGACATGTGTATTTCAATTGTAACTTCTGTTGGTTCAGATCTCATAATTGCTGGACTTTTCTCCAAATTGAAACAATTTGAACTTGGTCTCACATTGAAACATTCTTGCATTTCATACGAAGTTGATGAGCTAAGAGATGAGCTCATCTCTTTTCAAATACAAAGTAATGCAGGTTTTTATTGGAGTTTGTTTCTTACAAGACTTGTTGACTATCAAAATGTCTTCGGCTGTTCTGTTAGTCCTTGAAAGGTCTTCTTTAGCTTGAGATTTAAGACCTTGGAATTGCTTTTTGTTCCTTCAGAAATGCTGTGATTCTGTGCTGTTCTTCCCCGTGGCACAGCACAGTGGAAGGGCAGGTGGAGGGTAGGGAGCTGATGCCACACTGGGATGCTTTGTGCTCTCCTCCTGCTCAGAGGCTGTAGGGCTTAAGGGAGCTTTTAAAACAGTTGTAGCTATGCAGGCAACATTTTGTGGGCTTGGTAATGATTTAACTGTGCTCTCTGTAGGTGAGCTGAGGCTTCCTTTGTCCTCTCCCTTGGGCTCTGTTCACCATGCGTGTGCTAGGAAACTGCTTCCAGCATGAAACTGTCTGAGCTTCCATTTATTGTACTTTGTAGATTATTTCAGATAATCTAAACTGAAGTTTCAAAGTGAGTTTAAACATAGATCAGGTTTCTCCATACCCCAGGTTTCTCCAGGTTTCTCCATACCCCAGGTTTCTGCAGACACCACCTGGCTGTACGGATGGAAAGTCCTTTTGAGTCGGGTCTGCTCTCTCGTAGCACCCTGCAGAGCTCCAGGTTGGCTAACAGCCTGTACAAGAGTGAGCAGATTCTAACTGATGCACATTAACTGCGAGTGAAGTTATGGCTTCAGTGACGTGGCACTCATTAGTGCCAGGGGCAGAGTTCTAGCAAAACTCATTTGGAAATGAGACGAAGCCTGTGATGATAAATAGGTTCCAGTGCTGCAGACTGGTGGCTGATGCTCCTTTGAAGAAGTCCCTTTATTAGTGATGGTAAAGTCTGAGGTAGTGTAATGACATGCTGATGGAATAGGAAATACTTGAAAATAGACTTGGGAAATTGCCAGATGACAAAGATACAGATCTGATACTTGCTGTTGATAGTCTTTAACATACATCTGTCTATCTTGAATCAAAGTAAATGTTCTCTGTTAGTCTGAAATAATTTCTGTTCCCTTCTGCAATCATAAATTCTGCAGCTATTTCATCCAAAATAACACTGTCCTTTTTCAAAACTGTGAAATAGTTAGACCTTGAAATGAAGCGCAGAATTTCTGTTGTAGCCAATCTTTTCTTTACTATTCTGTCATTTAGCTGCAAAGCTCTTGTATTCTGTGCTGTAGCTTTAAGCTGAGCAGTTTGAGTGGCATCTCTCTTGCTGTTTTCACGCTTGGCAGCGTGTTGCAATGCTGCTTACCATCTTTAAAAGAAATACAGCCTTTTCTTCAGGAAATTGCTGTACATTTAAATTAAGTGTTTTGCTCTAAGTTGCTTAATGCATGGTATAATGAACATCAATGTTCATTTTCCACCCGTATGAATAGCAGCAGTTCAATCTTCATCTTCTGTCAAAATGTGTTACCTGGTGAGTTGGAATTGACAAAACTTCACCGTGTATGTCTTTAGGAGCAATACACAGTCAGGTGGAATCTTTGAGTGACTCGTGGGTGCGACTGAAACACAGCAGAGATTGGTTATACACATCCTCCTACTCTTTTGTCGAGTCCGACTTTGATCTCTCAAGATCCCTTGGAGTTCATACTTTGATTGAAAATGTCATCAGTTTTGTAAGTGGAGATGTGGGAAGCTCCCCAGGGTTTAAGGAGCCAGAGGAAAGTATGTCCACCAGTCCCCAGGCATCGGTCATCGCAATGGAGCAGCAGCAGTTGAGGGCTGAGGTAAATTTCGGTTTAAAAACTCTTTTTATTCTTTATATATTATGCTCATTTTAGAGTTCTTTTTTTTAAAACATTGTCCAAATTCTTTGAAAGACATTTTTCTTTCTTTTCTGTTAAATATCTTAGCTGGAACTGGGAACTCTATGTAAATAAATTCTAGAACAGAACTGAAAGTATTCCCTCTGTTAAAAAAAGCGGCAAGGAGAAAACAGCTAACTCACCCATTCTTGCTTACGGTTGAAGGGGATGTAATTTCAGTTACTAAGGCTACTTGCTCCTTACTTACCATTGTCTTTTGCCTGCCTTTATTTTTAGCTTCGCCTGGAAGCACTTCACCAGATTTTAGTGCTTCTCTCAGGGATGGAGGAAAAAGGCAGTGTGCCATTACTAGGAAGTCGTCAAGTGCCAGGATTTCAGTCTTCTTCGTTGCTTACTTCTGTTAGGCTGCAGTTTCTTGCTGGCTGCTTTGGCTTGGGCACTGTCGGGCATGCGGGTGCCAAAGGAGAGAGTGTAAGATTGCATCACTACCAGGTATGTACTGCAGTTGTTTCTGCTGTTCCAATAACTGAGTGATAAAAACCTATCAGTCCTTACAATATTTATGTGTTTGGCCCAGGATGGTATCAGAGCAGCTAAGAGAAGTATTCAAATTGAAATCCAGGTGGCTGTGCACAAAATTTACCAGCAGTTATCTGCTACACTGGAGAGAGCTCTGCAAGCTAACAAGCATCACATAGGTAAGTGAAAACCAGATTTACAAAATATGTCCTTTGATACAGAGTGCAACAGTTTGTATGTTTGACAAAGCAGACCTCGCTATTAGTGATCAGAATTCAGTGAACTATCTGACTTCTTTTCCTAAGAGAGAAGGAAACTTTTTAACCTTTTTCTGATTTCATTTTCTTCAAGTGTTAGACCTTCTTAAGTCTTTTAAGTATTTTAGGCCTTTCTGTTTCACGTACCAGTTTTCCACAGTCACCTATGACTTTTGTGCTTCAAAGGGATTTTTAGGTTTTTCAGGGATAAGCAGTTTTCTGAAGAGATGAGAAGTCTTCAATCTCTCTCTTTGTGCAAGGGAACTTTCTTTAAACCCAAATCCGAAGAATGTGGCGTGTTGCCTCTTTGGAAAGCCCCTTGTCCTGTCCTCCTATACCCAGACATTGCTGTGTGCTTCTGTGCATAGGGGATGGCTGGAACTCTGCACCTCTGTGCCTTGAGTTTCTCCAGAACAGAGCTCTGTCTGGTTGAGCTCAGAGTTTGGTTAAACCTAATCACCATTCTCACCTTAACTGTTTTGTTGTTTCACTTGCAATTAAAATGGAACTGAACGACATTTCTTGAGAATCAATGTGAAGTATGAGTAGAAAATAAAGCATTTGACCCAGTTGTCTTTACCAGAGGGAGAAGATTCTGGTTTGAGATTTAGCCTCAGAAAATTTGCGTCGCAAACTAGATCTCCCATGATGTTCTTCCTTGGATGATGCTGTCATAGATGTTACATTGTGTTAAAAGTGCGCATCAGGAGGACCACCTCAAAGTGTCTGACAAGCCTCACTTTTGTCTTGATAATTTAGTCTGTTAGATTTTGTTTAAAAAATAGTCTGCTGTTCTTCCGTCTTGGTGTTCTTACTTTGAACAGCTTATTGATTGCAGACCATTTTATTTTAATCTTAGAAGCACAGCAGCGTCTGCTGTTGGTCACCGTCTTCGCCCTCAGTGTGCACTATCAGCCCGTGGATGTCTCCTTGGCCATTTCCACTGGTCTGCTGAACGTGCTGTCACAGCTGTGTGGCACAGACACCATGCTAGGACAGCCCCTGCAGCTGCTGCCCAAAACTGGTATTTCCCAGCTCAGCACGGCTCTGAAAGTAGCCAGTACAAGACTCCTGCAGATCCTTGCAATCACCACAGGGTAAGTGTCGAGTGCTCCCTAGGCTCTGGAAAACTTAATCATTAAGCTTTTCTTCTGTGTAAGCTTTCTTTAGGACAATGAATGTTGCTCACAAGTATATAAGTGAAGGGTGAAAAAAAAGTCACCTTATTGATAGGAAAGATGCACACAAGACTGATAAATATTTTTCTATTGTGAGTGTTTGGACCAGAATTCTCTGCAGAGAGACCTGGACTGACTTGATCAGTGGTTCTGAGGACAAGTGCATCAGGGTCACCAAGGCTTAGTGCTCATTCTGCCCTCGGGACACAACAGCCCCAAGGAGCTCCAGGCTGGGGGAGGAGTGGGGACAGAGGTGTTGGGCAGGAAGGGACACTTGGCAGTGCTGGTGGCACAGCTCAGTGGGAGCCAACAGTGTGCACAGGTGGCCAAGGAGGCCAAGGGCACCTTGTCCTGGCTCAGCAGAGTGTGGCAGCAGCACTAGGGCAGTGTCATCCCCCTGCACTGGGCACTGGGGAGGTCCCAGCTCAGTGCTGTGTTCAGTTTTGGGCCCCTCACTTTCAAAAGGGCCTTGAGGCACTGGAGCGAGTCCATAAAAGGTGTAGAAAACATGTTGTATGAGGAATGGCTGAGGGAGTTGGGCTTGGTTAGCCTGGAGAAGAGGCTCAGGGGTGACCTCCTGGCTCCCTTCAACCAGGGCTGGAGAGAGGTGTGGGATGTGTGTCCTGCCAGGGCTGAGGGAGAGGATAAAGGGAATGGCCTTGAGCTGAGGCAGGGCAGGAGTCAGAGCGGCCGTCAGGAAAGTTTTTTAGGTGTTCAGGCGCCGGAATAGGTTGTCCAGTTGGTGGAGTCACCATCCCTGGAAGTGTTTAAGAGGTGTCTGGGTCTGGTGCTGGAGGATATGGTTTAGGGGTTACAGCAGCGACAGGTTAATGGTTGGACATGGTGATCTTGGAGGTTTCCTTCAGCCTTGCACATTGTGCTTCTTTTCAGCGTACGAAATAATTTTATGAGGAATAGTGGCCTCTGCTAGACCCTAGAACAGCTTGCAAGTCGTATCAATACTTAAATGTCTAGTTTAACTCAGTAAAGGAAGCAACAGTGGAGAAAGTATTTTCTATTTGAAGCAAAAGTGTTATTTGGTATTCAGTATGTGCATTTTCATTTCAGTGTTCATACAACACATTGCATTTACCTGCCAGATCTGGTCTGTAAAAAGCCCCAATAACCCCACAGCATGAAACAACACCCCATCTTTGAAAGCTGTGGTTGAATTATGTGTCATTTTAAAAGTGTTTGTCCCCAGGAAGTACTGAAATCATATCCTTTGACTCCAAAGATGAGATCCTTTTAACATGTTTTAAAAACAGGGTTAAAATAATGATAATCCAAGCCTAGGATAGGGAAAAGTAACTTGCTGCAATTACTGTTCCTTGGATCAGCTCTCAAATACTCTTCTTTTTCCTTTTTTTGTTTTATTTTTGGTGTGTGTGTGTTTATAGGACCTATGCTGATAAATTGAGCCCAAAGGTGGTCCAGTCTTTGCTGGATTTGTTATGCAGCCAGCTGAAGAACTTGTTATCACAAGCTGGTGTGATGCTTATGGCTTCCTTTGGGGAAGGGGAAGGTGAGGAGGATGAAATGGAATCCAAAAAGGCAGATTCTAATGGGGACAATGAGAAGAGAGACTTCAGAGGTAATTTCTGTTTAAACTGTCAAATACCAGAGAGCACAATAGAGAAAACCACTGAATACTGAGGTCCTCACCTGCTCTGCTGTGGGGAAGATGGTTTAATTTTGTCCTAATCTATTTTTCATTGGCAGTAAATGAAATTATTCTGCCCCAAGTCATCTGCTTTGCCCATGAGGGTAAAAAAGAATGGTCTGCCTCCCTTACTTTGACTCGTGAACTTAGGATCTTATTTTCTGCCCCTGTCTTGCTGAGGAGCAGAAGTGAGAACACAGCTGGGTGGGCACCTGTCAGCCAGCCAGGGTTAACCACCAGCCACCATGCAATAGCTGCTCCTTGTTTGTTTACCTGCAGGAGGGGTCTTGCCAGGAACGGGGCCTGCTGGTCAGGCTGCAGGCAGAAGAATGAAATGTAAAGGAAAAATGTCAGTATAAATTCTTGTAACCGAAAGTGTTTCATTTAACTCCTAGCTGCCCTCCGAAAGCAGCACGCAGCGGAGCTGCACCTGGGAGACTTCCTGGTGTTCCTGCGGAGAGTTGTGTCTTCCAAAGCGATTCAGTCCAAAATGGCATCCCCGAAGTGGACAGAGGTCCTTCTCAACATTGCCTCTCAGAAGTGTTGCTCAGGTATGGTCCTGTGGGAACGTGCTCGGCGCTGATCTGCGTTCCTGTGTGTGGGGTGTGCTGTGTGTGGG